TTGTAAGATTCTTTTTTAAAAAAATTAGAATGTTTTTCACTTTTTTATGACGTCTGTTGTTTTTGGTGATCTTTGGACGAGCGGATGTTAAAGAAAATCCGTTTGTTTTGTTCAGATCAGAGGGAAACGGTTTTCGATCAAGAACACAGATAGTGAGATTTGGCTTGAGCATGAACATCGACGGATTGCAACGTGAAAAAGTCTGTTTAGCTTTTAAGCACATCGTGATCATTGATCAATGTTCAAAGAAAGAAAAAACATAATAAAATACAGTACCAAAGAATTAAACAAGAAACTAGTATTTTTTTGTAATTCTGCTATTAGTTGATTAATTCCTTGTAGATCGGCCGATAACAGAATGAGCACTTTTATTAAAAGATTTTGTTTTGAAAAAAACCGGATTGCTAACAAAGTGATCTTTGATAAACCATTTCATGTTTTCTCATTTCACCTTTTTTCATGATTTATTCATGAGTTGATTACGCCCTTATGAATTTGTCTTTGGTGATGTCTTGTGTGTTATTTTTTTCCCTTGGCTGGAGGATTCGTTATTTTAATAGAGGGGGTTAGTAGAAAAAATGTAAAGCGTCGGCTTTGTTTGTTTCCATTATACGGTCAATGTCACGCCAACTCTCGCTTTTCCCCCTTACTGAGTTCAGCTTGGCCCGAGTTTTCGGAGACTGAAGATGATTCAAAAGCGAATAGGATCAGCATGTATTTAATACGCATTACAGCCGGCAACGGTGTAAAAACTTACCCCTTTTTGGTGCGAGGGGGGTGGCTTTTACATGCAAATACCATTCCGGTGTCATTCCGGCCTCCATTCGGTAAAACACGCCCCAATCGATCCGCTTACATAAAAGGGGGCCAAAATGGCCACCCCAGGTGCCAGGGGGTGGAAAATCGTTACCCCCCGGGGTTTTGTTGGAGAGGGGGAGGGGGCGCATGCCCGTCACGACCGGGGCAATATGCCCCCTTGGATCAATATATAAGGATACACGATTTCGCAAATACGGCTTGTTGGGGCCGTAATGCATCGGCCAACGTCGGAAAAGCACAGAACATTGAGTGAAACCAGAAAGTGTACCTCATCAGAAGTCAAGGCAAAAAACGTCTGCTCATCCAGAATAAAATCCAGGATAACAATCAACCATCAAAGACATACAAAAACTCAATTAACATATCTTAAAAATCAATCAAATAAAAAGTTTTATGTCTTTTGCTTTAACTGCATAAGACTTTCAAAAAATTTTACTTAAAAAAAGGCTAATATTTTCGGCGTCAGATCTAAAAAAACACCAATTTCTAACGTTTCCCACATTATGAGGCTAGTATTTCCTGAGAAAATAGCGTTTTATACTTGCAAAGAGCACAGAACATGTAAAGAACCAGAAAGTGAACCTCATCAAACGTCAAAGTGAAAAACTTCCTCTTATCCAGAATACTAATCAGAACAACAATCAAACATCAAAAACACAAAAATCTAAAAAATCAATCAAATATGAAGTTATATTTCTTTTGCTTTAACTAAACTAGCTTTTAAAAAACTAAAAAAAATAAACGGCTAAAATTTTCACTGCGAGATCTGAAAAACAGCATTTTTAACTTTTGCCATATTGTGCGGTCAGTATTTTCAGTGAAACTAGTGATTTTCTATTTTCTAAGGGCATAGAACATTGAGGGAAACCAGAAAGTGAACCTCGTAAAACGACAAGGAGAAAACGTCCTCTTAGAATACCATCCAGAACAACAATCAACCATGGAAGATAAAAAACATTAATTAAACCGTGCTAAATATTGATCTTATATTTAAACCAACAGAGTATTTATGGCTTTTAGGTTTTTAACTGTACGATTTTTTCCCCGTAGAAAAAAAGCGTTAAATTGTTATCAACAAACATGCAAAACCCATTATTGGAAAGATTTATATATTTTACGGTTGAGATTTTTTAGGAAAACCAGCGTTTGCTATCTTTTCATGAAAACACAGAACATTAAAAGAAACTAGAAAGTGAACCTCGTCATTGATCAACGCGAAAAATGTCATCATGCCCGGCAGACGATCCAGTAAAAGAATCAACCATCAAAGAAACAAAAAGATAGATGACATATAAAAAACCAGTCTTACACTGAAGAACAACCTGAAGCTTTATGAATTTTTTTCTGTGTTATAATGGTTAGTTTGTAATAAGCAGATGCGCGAAATAGATTATTTGAAGGTTTGACATATTGTACGGTCGATATTTCTGGAACAAAACTCTGACTTTTACACTTTTCACAAAAACACAGAACATTAGAAGAACCAGAAAGTGAACCTCGTCTGTGGTTAATGCGAAAAAAGTCATCATGTCCGGGAGACAATCCAGACAAACAATAAACCATCAACGAAACAAAAGAAAATAATTAAACGTGTTAAAAATTGATCTTGCGTTTAAAACACTGACACGCTCTGAGGATTTATGAGCTTTTGTTTATTATTTAAATAATATTGCTACGTTAAAAGTTCCTGGTAGGTAATTGAGGAACTCGTGTTTTTCTTGTTCAATTAAATTGAGACATTTATTTCTTATCAAATTTCATTACGTATGCTGTGTATTGGTGTGACACGATCCAGCTGTCGACGATTTACTTCGTCCAATGATCAACGGCCCGTAGATCGTGTCGATAATTGTTTCGGCACTGCGGCACCTCGCATACGAGAAAAAACAAAGAGCCGTTTGACCTATAAAATGAAACAACGAATGCCTAGGCCGTATATTATTCCCTCCGTCACGTGGCTAAAAGTCAACGCTGAGAGCCTCTTCGGTTAAATCACCCGTTTAACGAGGAGCGTGCTTTCACCAAGGGGCCCGTTTCACCGTTGCCCCGGTGCCACTCCCGGATAAGTTATGCCCCTCGATAATTGAATGGACCAAATTCAATATTGGGCCCCGGGTGATGTACGAGCGCCCTTTCGAAAACGGGCCGGTCCCGGGGCCGAGGCGGGGAAAGAAATCTCCAACTTTTGCCCATTTGACTTGTTCTAAGATTTTGACACGTAGGCTTTTTGTACGGGAGAATCGTTATTTTGTCTTTCCTAGTCTGTTATTTAACGTTCTTGGGCCGGTTCGCCGGTTTAAATTTCACATTTGTCATCGCACACTTCCTGGGTCGGGCGCTGCCAATAAAAATCCTGCTAGGTGACTTTAAACAGCTTTGCTCTTTGTTAATCCATTCTTATCCTTTGCATTATCGCTGTTTAATCGACGTTTAAAACGGTGCCACACGATACGAAAATTTACGGCGTTCACGAACTTTTTTTCTAAATATCCTGCGTTTTCGTGAAAAGTGGTAAAACGCGGCGTTTTAGCAATTAGGAAAAACTTTAATATACTGCTTGTATACATTTTAATGACAATTTAACGCTTTTCTCTCGCAATAATATAAATAATTTGCACAATCGTTCAAGAAATAATCAAAAAGACCCAAAACCTCAAGGTATTTTCAAACGTGAAAATCAAGTTTGAACAGGTCTTAATTATTTTTTTGAAATTTGATTCTTGTTCTGATCGCCTTTTGGACCATTTGGCGTTTTTCCCGTCGATTTCCGACTCGGGTCACTTCCTGGTTTCTTCCCATGATCTGTGCTCTTGTAAGTAGAGAAGAAACCATGTTCTCTCCAAAAATTTCGTCTATTCATATGTAATTTTGTTTAAATATATTTTTTAAGTCTGATGATATTTTAACCACCTAATTGATCATTTTAGTTTAAAAAAAGTAAAAGCCGTAAATACTCTGTTGGTTTAAACATAAAATCAATTCATTAAATTCAAGGAGGGAAATTTCAAAAGGTGGGGTTGAGATGGGAAGTTAGTGCCCGAGGGGATCGAAGTCACGATAGCTCAACTTTTTTTTATCTCAACTTAAAACCTTAATTAATTGAATGTTATTAATTGGTCAAGCGACCACGAAAAATAGTGAATTCATAAAATCAATATTAGACATGGTTTAATTAATGTTTTTTTGTCTTTGATGATTGATTTTTGTTGGGGTTAGTATTCTGGATAAGAGGACGTTTTTCACTTTGACGTCTGATGAGGTTCACTTTCTGGTTTCTTCCAATGTTCTGTGCTCTTGTAAAAAGAGAAGAAACCATGTTCTCTCCAAAAATTTCGCCCGTCCAATATGTAAATTTTTCCAAACAATATATTTTTAAGTCTGTTGATGACATTTTAATTAACTAATCGGTAATTTTAGTTAAACAAGTAAAAGCCATAAATTCTCTGTTGGTTTAAACATAAAATCAATATTTTATGGGTTAATTAATATTTTTTGTTTTTGATGGTTGATTGTTGTTCTGGTTAGTATTCTGGACAAGCGAACGTTTTTCACTTTGACTTCTGGTGAGGTTCACTTTCAGGTTCTTTACATGTTCTGTGCTATTTGCTAATATAAAAACACTATTTTCTCTGGAAATAATGACCGCACAATTCGGAAAACGTTAGAAAGTGCTGTTTTTTTAGATCTGACCCGAAATACAGTTTATGAAATTATGAAATCATCCATTTTTTATATTTGTTAATGATAACCCTTTTTACTTAAATTAATTATTATTAAGGTTATATTATTTTAAGTCTTAATTATTTTATTGTTAGTTGTTTTTATTGTTTCTTTAGTGGTTAATTGTTGTTCTGGATTGCTTGCTGGACAATATGGTGTTTCTCGCGTTGATTTTGGACGAGGTTCACTTGCTGATTTCTTTCAATGTTCTGTGTTTTCGTGAAAAAATAGTAAACCGCGGGTTTTCTTCCGAAGCCTAGACCGTAAAATATATAAAAAATTTAAATCGTGTTTTTTTAGGTCTCCTGGTGATATGTTAACCTCATTTCCACGGAGGAAAAATTAGATCAGAACACAATACACCTAGGAGTTTCGGACAACTTCAAAAACCCACTTCAGGCGTTTATGAATTTCGTTTTTTCGCTTATTGAACTATAGTTGAATGTTTGTTGTGTACATACCAGTCTTCTTTTGGGTTTGATCAACGGCCGGTTCTGACCGTTCATCTTATAGTAGAGTCCGCAGGCGTTGCAGAGGTAGTGGCCCGTGCCGTCCCGCCTCCACAGGGGCGTCGAGGTGGCCCCGCAGTTGACGCACTCCCGTCCTTCTGAAATTTAAATCTAGTTAGAACCAAGAGAGGTACATTTCCAGGCCCAGAGTGGAAAGGAAAAAAATTATAACCAGGAACGTTATTAGCCTAATGGCATGGGTGGGCCCGTTGTACGGATATTTCACAACGGTTTGGCTCCGGAATTAATCCGCCGTTGCCCCTCACGATCTTTTTCCTTCCCTGTTAATAACCCAGGGGCAGCGGAAAGACGGTAATCAGAGATGAAACGGTCACGACACCCTGTTTGACTTTCGAATGAATTCTGGCTACGAAAATGAGAGAGAGAGAGAGAGAGAGAGAGAGAGAGAGAGAGAGAGAGAGAGAGAGTCCAAATCGAATCCTATCGAAAACTCGAGGGCTGATCCATAAAAACAATCCAGGGTGGAAAATCGACAGAACCCTTAATCGACCCTCGATCAATCAAACGGCAACCGAATAGCCACCCTCTCGTTAAAACGCGAATTGAATCAGAAGAAAGACAAACCTTTTTTTTTACTACGAATCCCCCGGGTGTGAAATTACGCCCCCAGGGCGCCCTTTTTCTCGCTACCTGGGCCCCCTTTTAAAAAATAATTATAACGACCGGCCTGTTTAAAAGCAGTGTAAAACCCGGGGCTTCTAAAAGCCTAATCTGGACGCTAATTGACAACCAACAATAATCCCTTGGCTACTACGTACAAAAAAAGAAAGGTAAACCTTTAAGGAATAGTTTTTTCTCTCTCTCTCTCTCTCTCTCTCTCTCTCTCTCTCTCTTTCTCTCTCTCTCTCTTTGTTGCTGGCCAAGATTCAATTCAAAAATTAAAAAAAAAAATCATTGTAAAAAACTCAATATTAATTAATTAAACCACTCCCGCAAAATCCGCACCGTCTAAACCGCACAAACCATTAAAAACAAGCTTTTCATCTTCAAAGAACACAGAATATACAATAGTGATGACATAGTGAACCTAGGCATACTTGAAAAATTCAAAAACTTTATAAATCATCAGAAGGTCAGGAACAAATATTGAGTATTAAAGAAAGAACAACACCAAAACTGGTTAACAATAAAGAAAAATTTCAATCGGGAGGCCATGTGTTACAGATTGGTCCTGTTAGTCTGATGGAATAATAATCGAAGGCTATGTTTTTAAGAAACACCGTACTTCTACAACCACACGTCGTCAGCAGAATGGAATATTTTTTTACGTCCGGACGGCCTGAAACGCGTCGAAAGCGGAGGTTTTCTTTCGAGAGAACACAGACGATACAAAAGTGACGACATAGTGAACCTACGCGTAGTTGAAAAATTTAAAGACATTATAAATCATCAGACCGCTAGGACCAAATATTGACTGTTGAGGAAAGGCTTAAGTCAAAATGAAACAAGTTAAATCATAACGGAAAATTCTAACCGGGAGACCATCTAAAACAGATTTGATTAGTTAGTCTGCTGGAGTAATCATCGACGGGTTTATTTTTAAGAAACAGAACTTCTACATCAACACGTCCTCAGGAGAATTGACAGTTTTTTAAGCTAGATTAACATCATAGGCCTGAGGTCAACTGAGATAATCATTATTGAATTTTTGCTTTTTGGCGAAAAAACTCGATTTGTACACTATCACGACATCGTCTGAATGTAAAAAAAATTTGGGTTGGTTCGGACTCGACTTATACACTAGGGGAGAATAGACAATTTTTTTAGGGCCGGTTGGGACGGTCTGGTACGCGTCAAAAAGAGGTTTTCATTCGTGAGAACACAGAATATATAAAAGTGATATCTAGGTGAACCTGGGCGTACTTAAAAATTCAAAGACCTATGAAACTTATGACTGTCAGGGACTTGACTGTTGAAGAAAGGGTTAAGTCAAAATGAAATATGTTAAACCATAAAGAAAATTTCTAAACCAGAAGACCATCTGTTACAGATTTACTTGTTAGCAGTTTATAATGGTTGTAAATACTTGTTTATCAAGAAGATTAGTTAGATTAGGGTTAATCTTTAAAGATTATTATCAGAATGATCTTTTCTTCAAGCGTGTTTATCTGCAGGTCATCACAGAGCCCGAGGTCTACTCGCGTAGTTATGAACGGTTTTTTGTTGGCAATTTTTTTGCGAGACCCCTCTGGTCGGCTTGGATGGTCTTGAACGTATCAAAAGCGGAGGTTTTCGTTGAGAACACAGAAAGTACAAAAGTGACAGCTAAGAGAACCTGGGCAAACTTGAAAAATTCAAAGACTTTATGAAACATCAGACGGTCAGGGACAATTATTGACTGTTGAAGAAAGGGTTAAGTCAAAATTAAACAGGTTGAACAATAAGAGAAAATTCTAATCAGGAGGCCATATGTACTACAGATTTGACTTGTTAGTTAATGGTTGGAACTAATTATTATTGAAAAAGATAAGTTTTGTATCATTATCAGTATGATCTTTTTTTAAAAAGATGAAATGGGTTCTGCGTAGGTAATCATGGTTGGTTTTGTTCAAAGTGACGCTGAACCTCTATACCGAAACAAAATCATCAGAATGGGAAAAAATTGAGTGTAGAAGGTTTTCTTTTAAGAGAACACAGAACGTACAAAAATGACGGATAATTGAAGCTGGGCTTACTTGACAAATTCAAAGACTTTATGATACTTCAAACTATCAGGGACAATTATTAACTGTTGAAGAAAGGACTAAGTGAAAAATTAATAATATAATATATATAACAATAAAGAAAAGTTTTAATCAGAAGACCACTTATTACAGATTTTACTTGTTGGTCGTTTAAAACGGTTGTACCTACTTATTTATAAAGAAGATTAGTTGGATTAGGGTTAATCTTAAATGATCATTATCAGGATGATCTTTTTTAAGATGAGATTATCCGCAGGTCAACTCAGGTCATAGGTTCTGCTGAGGTAACCACGAACTTTTTTTTGAACTATCGATTACTACATTATCACGCCACCTGTAGAGAGGGTTAAAATTGGAATCGGTTTTGGCGGTCTGGAAAGCGCGCGGTTTTTCGAGAGCACACAGAACATACAAAAGTGACGACAAAGTGAACCTGGGCGTATTTTGCAAATTCAAAATCTTAATGAAACTGGAGATGCTCAGGAACAATTATTGAGTGATTAAGAAAGGGTTAAATTAAAATTAAGCTGGTTAACAATAAAAAAAACTTTTAATCAAATTAGTGGGTTTGAAGAAATTACCGGATTTTGAAAAGGATTCCATGGCTTTTATTGGGGGAAAATTTTCGGAAAGGATAGTTGTAAAGGATGTCTCATGAAAAAAGCACAGAACATGAAGTGAGCATGAAAAAGAGCCCAGGTGTATTTGAAAAATTCAAAAACCATTTGCATCCCGATGATTTCATGGTTGATTATCGATTGTCCGAGATGGAAAATTGAGCTGTTTGAACGGTTGACGGTACAGTTATGGGCTAATTGTTGTGGGATATCTCGGCTCGATCTTTTTGCAATTCTTGCGACCAAGTCTCATTAGGGATGGATGTAATCCAAGGTGAACACTCACCGGATGGAACGGCCGCAATTTCCTAGCCGGTTGCCAAAGGCAGGAAAGCGCCCGTTTCAAAAGACCGTGCCCCGAGCAGGATCCCATGGGCGTCAAGGGCGTTTCTCACCGTTGTGAGCGTGCGAGGGAGACAGAGAAAAAGACGAACGTCCTTCGGCCCATGGGAAAATATTCGTTTTCCACCGTAGACGGATTTAGAAAACGGCCCAAGGGGCGAGACCGAGCGGACACGTGCCCGGATCGAAAAACAATCAAACGGCAAGAGGGCACTTAGACGTGAAAGCCACCACGTGGGACTAATGTCGGTAAACGCACGTTTAAGACGTGCCCCCTTCAATCATGTCGTTGTTCATGTCCCTTGTTTTTTCACCTACTCCACCCCCCTCGGTCGTTTACGTGTGTCACTAACTGTTTCGAACGTTCAATCAGCCCGGACACCTGTTCGCAATCGATAAAACACCCAGTCGTTTCCGCCCGTAAATTTACAAACTGGTCCGACCAGTTTTTCTCGGATTGAAACAAAAAAAGAAACCCCTTTCGGAGACAAGAAGGATCCGCAATGTCTTACATGCCATTATGAAGAAACGACACGGCATTCTGGAAAAAAATGTCATAAAAGTTTGACGTTAAAAGCCTCCATCCGTCGTTAACTTTTGAAAGTTATCAAGATAACCGGCTCATATAACTATAGGCTTATTGGGAAGTTGTAATATTTGATGGGTTTCGGGTGAAAACATTCCCCAAAGGGAATAACCTTCAGATGCTTGTCTAAATTCAAATTGCCATCCACCTTTAACTCGAGTATGTAGGATTCTCACATTTTGGACAAATAAAGATATTTCGTTGATAACATATTCTGGAGAAATTGGCCGGAAAACTGGACACCTGTACCATTCATTCGAACAAAATTTAAAAATTCTCGTGTTTTAGAAGGATTTTATGTTCATATGGATATTTCATTAATTTTAGTTGAACTCTTTTCAATTTTATATATTGAGTTGACGGTTGTTTATTATGCTATCGATTGGAACATCGAGAACGTAAAATATTTCGTGGGTTCCTGGTAAAAACCGTTTTCAAATGAAAAAAACGCCATGGCCCTTGTCCAAATTTAAAACAACCTCTACCATTAACCCATAGATGGAGGATTCTCCATTTCTAGACAAATAAAGATAATTGGTTGATATAACAACCTGGAGAATTTGGCTGGATTTGGTCAAACTGGGCACTTGTATGATACGTTCGAACTAAATCGATTTTTTTTTTGTTTTTGTTTTAGAAGGATTTTATGTTCATATGGATATTTCTTTAATTTCATCGGAACCCTTATCAATTTTATGTATTGGGTTGTCGAGCATTTATTATGTTATCGATTTGCACATTGAAAAATTAAAATATTTGCTGAGTTCATAGTGAAAACCGTTTCCAAATGTAAAAAACGCCATGGCCCTTGACCAAATTCAAAACTACCTCTACTATTAACCCGTAGATGGAGGATTCTCCATTTCTAGAGAAATAAAGATATTGGGTTGGTATAACAACCTGGAGAATTTGGCTGTATTGGGTCAAACTGGGCGCGTGTATGTCACATTCGAACAAAATTGAAAGATTCGCGGGTTATGAGGGGATTTGATCTCCATATGGATATTTATTTAAATTTAGCATAACCCGTATTAGTTTTATGAATTGGGTTGACGATTATTTATTATGTTATCGATATGCACTTTGAGAAATTAAAATATTTCGTGGGTTCCTGGTAAAAGCCATTTCCAAACGGAAAAACCGTTATAGCCCTTGTCTAAATTCAAAACCACCTCCACCTTTAAACTGTCGATGGAGGATTCTCAATTTCTAGTCAAATAAAGATATTTTGATGTTATAACAACGTGAAGAATTTGGCTGTATTTGGTCAAACTGGGCACGTGTATGACACATTCGAACACAACCGAAAAATTCTTGTGTTTTAGAAGGATTTTATATCCATATGGATATTTCTTTAATTTTAGCTGAACCCTTATCAATTTTATATTTTGGGTTGACAGATGTATATTATGCTATCGATTTCCAAATTGAAAAATTAAAATATTTGCTGAGTTCATAGTGAAAACCGTTTCCAAAGGGAAAAAACGCCATGTCCCTTTCCAAATTCAAAACCACCTCTACCATTAACTTGTAGATGCAGGATTTTCGAATTTTATGTAATTAAAGGTATTTGGTTGTTATAACAATCTGGAGAATATGGCTGGATTTGGCCAAACTGGACACGTATACGACATGATCGAACAAAATTTCATTATTCTCAAGGTATAGAGGGATTTTATGTCCATATAGATTTGTTTTTTAATTCCAGCTTAATCCTACTTAATTTGGTATTTCGTTAAAGATGATTCATTATGCTATCGATTTACATATTGGAAGGTTGATATATTTGGTGGATTCTAGATGAAAACCGCCACGATCTTAGGACGTTTTCCACATCTACGTCTCGTCCGAGACATGGAGTGTTCCGTCAAACCAAGCAGTTTAGACAAGATAAAGCCGTGTTATGAGCCAAAAAACCAACACCCAAAACGTGCTCAAATCGTGCTGAAAAAACACCAGTGCCGGTGTTCTCCTTGGGTTAGTGTCTCGCTTAATAGTCTCTTACCGGCGCTCGTCCTCGACTTGGCACGATTCTGTGACGTGGACGCTTGTGAGGGTTCTTTACTCGAATATTGCTTTTCCGAGAACATCAGTTGGTGGTAGGAATTGAAGTGGTTGTACTCCTGGTTGTAGTAGCCGTGACCTGCTAGGAGAAAAAAGTAAATAAAAGGAAAGGGGCAAAATAAAATGAACAGAAATAAAATAAAATAAAATTTTAGAAATGAAAACTAAAAAAATAAATTAAAAAAAGGTGAAATAATAACGAATAATAAAGGTGAAATTTTGAGGATTTGGGCTGTTTTTTCTGAAAACCAAATTTCAAGTGTTCAAAGGGGATGGTGGCTGGGAGTATGGCGCGGCCTGAAAAGAGAAATTTCTCATCTTTTTTAAAAGATACGAACCTTCCCTGGGCTTTTGTTGGGAGGAGATGACCGGCTTCATGTCCGGCACCCCGGCGGACGAGGAGTCCGGGTGGAGGAAGACGGCCATGTTGTACTCGTGACCTGTCTGCTCCGGCACCCCGTCCGTCGGGGGCGTCGGGGGGAAGGTGAACGGGGCTGCACCCCCGGCCCCGGCCGAGCCGGCGGCCTGCAGGGGTGACTTGGACTCGCCCCAGCCTCCCTCGTGCCTTTTGCTGCTCAGCCAGGGGTGAAGGGGGTTGTGGCTCATGCACCGACTGGAACCTGCGGACAAACAGATAACGTTTTAGTCAGGAGAAGACATGAAAATTTTTCCCACTAGTTTTTTACCCTTCCCCCTGCAACACGCCACCCCTCGGAAACTGGCCACGCGTCATCTGTTGTCCGTACCTTCACAAAACACCCGGAGGATAAGCGGAAAATATGCCCACATCTTGAAAATCTTAAAAAAAGTTGATGGACTGTAAGAGGTGCAGGTACTGCTTGTGTCAAAAAGTAGGTGGACATTCTAATAAAAGCTGTTCTTTAAATGCCAGACTTGTACTCTAGCCTCCCTTTATTTGGCCAAAGAAATCGTGTGTAGAAGGTATGGACATAAGTCACACTTCTATTGGCAACCTGTGAGGTAGAGTGACCAGAGATGATCAAATTGCCTGTGTATGAATGGAGGTGGATTTCCTGAATGATTTCTTTTTTATTTGCCACATCTGGTCAATCTATCTCATTGTATTTGGTCAAAGAAGACGTATCTAGAAGGTATTGGCGCTAGTCACGGTTCTGAGGATAAGCAGCGAAGTTAGTAAGATGATGATCAAATTGCCTATATATGAAAGTAGGTCGATTTCCTCAATGATTTCATCTTTATTTGCTAGATTTCGTCCGTCCAGTCTCGCTGTATTTGGCCAAAGAATAGAATTGCCCGTCTAGAAGGTATTCCACTAATCACAATTCTGAAGGCGACCTGCGAGGTTAGAAAGACCAGAAATGGTCAAATTGCTTGTAATGGAAGTCTGTGGATATTCAACAGCTAATTGCTTTTTCTTTGCCAGATCTGGTCCGCCTAGTCTGGCTGTGTTTGGTCAAAGAAGAAGTGTCTAGAAGTTACTGGCACTAGTCACGTTTCTGAGAGCAACCAGCGAGGTTAGAATGACCAGAGATGATCAAATTGACTGTGTATGAAATTAGGTCGATTTCCTCAGTGATTTCTTCTTTATTTTCCAGATCTGGTCCTTCTAGTCTCGTTGTATTTGGGCAAAAAGAAGTGTCTAGAAGTTATTGGCAATAGTGACGTTTCTGAGGACAACCAGCGAGGTTAGAAAGACTAGAGATGATCAAATTACCTGTGTATGAAAGTAGGTTGATTTCTTCAGTGATTTCTTCTTTATTTGCTAGATCTGGTCCGCCTAGTCTCGCTGTATTTGGTTAAAGAAGAAGTGTCTAGAAGGGATTGGCACTAGTCACGTTTCTGAGGGCAACCAGCGAGGTTAGAATGATCAGAGATGATCAAATTGACTATGTGTGAAAGTAGGTCGATTTCCATAGTGATTTCTTTTTTATTTGCCAGATCTGGTTCTTCTAGCCTCGCTGTATAGCGTTAAAGAATTTGTACAGAGGATAAGATGGTTAGTTCATGTCCACTCATGCGGCAGCTAAGTTGGAATGAGAAGAAAGGTTAAATGATGAAAGTTTGAGTTGATCTATATTGGTTTGGATTTATTTGCTTTATCTATTTTCGTATTTTAAACTGGAATTGATTTTTAATCGTTGGCCAGATCTTACAGGTACGGCAGATGAAGAAAGAGCGAGGATAAACGTACCAAAAATGAACCAAATCTGAGAATAACAAGAATTTTGCCAACATGCCCAGTTTGTTGTAAATTTGTCATATCTGGTTCGGTTATTCTCGCTATTTTAAATTTTAATTGACTTCTAATTGGTCAGCGAACAATAGATATAATTATGGAATATATTGTTATAGATATAATTATGGAAGAAATAAACAAGAGTAAACGAACCAAAAATGGTCAAAATGTGTGAATTACTAAAATTTAAAATGAGCCGAGTTTCTTCGAAGTTTGTCATGTCCGATCCGCTTATTTTCGCTCTTTTACACTACAAATCACTTCTGACTAAATAAAAGAGCGAGAACAGACGGATCAAAAATGATCAAAATCGGACAATAACAAGAAGCTCATCATGAGATCGATGATTCCCCTGTATCCTGGTCCGTTTATTGAAACTTGTTTTAAATAAAATTGTCTTCAACCTGTGGTTAAGGCAATGCAGGTATGACAAAAAAATAAAAAGCGTAGATGGACGGACCAAAAGTTATCAAACTGACAAGAACCAGAATTGCGCCAAATGAAAAGAGTTTCTTCTAAATTTGACATATCTGATTAGCTTAATTTCACNATTGACTTCTTCTTTTAGCTAAGACAATTCAGGCACGATAAGAAAAGCAAAAGTCGTGGACAGACGGACCAAAAAAAGAGCCAAACTCTGCCAATAACCAGAATTGTGCCAAATAATCCAAGTTTCATCTGAAATTATCATATCAGGCCACCTTCATTTCACTTTTTTTACTGCAGAATTGAATTCGACAATACAGGTACGATATAAAAACAAAAATCATGAATAGTAGGACCAAAAATTGTCAAAATATGACAATAACCAGGATTGTGCCAAATGATAGGATTTTCTCCTAAATTTGACATACCTGACTAGCTTAATTTCATTGTTTTTCTACGGAATTGAATTCTACTTGTAATTAAGATAATCCAGGTACGATGGAAAAAAAGCCACCAAAAAGCCACGGACCAAAAATGGCCAAACTCTGCCATTAACCAGAATTGTGCCAAATGATCCGAGTTTCATCTGAAATTGTCATATTTGGCCCCATTGATTTCACTTTTTTTACTATCGAATTAAATTCTACATGTTGGTAAAACAATACAGGTACGATGGAAAGGCGAAAAGAGTAGATGGATGGACCAAAAATGGTCAAAATCTGACAATAACCAGAATTGAACCAAATGGTCCGCGTTTCTTCTAAATTTGACATATCTGGTTACCTTAATTTCACGGTTTTACTAAGGAGTTGAATTCTACTTGTAAGCAAGGTAATACACGGCAAATAGAAAAACAAAAGGCGTAAATGGACGGACCAAAAAAGGGCCAAACTCTGCCAATAACCAGAATTGTGCCAAATAATCCAAGTTTCATCTGAAATTATCATATCTGGCCCGCTAAAATTCGCTTTTTTACACTCAAATTGTATTCTTGTTGTAGAAAACTCGACGAAGAAAGGCAAGCTTGAATCAACAGCAAATGGTGGGCGGTATTTTATCGCAATCAGCCCGAAACCGCCCGCCAAGTCCGTCTCTTAGTATCTTTTCATTCCCATTGTGAAAATCCTCCTTCCTTCCGGACCAGGGAGGGGAAAAAGAAAAGAAAAATGGTTATTTCTGCAAGAGGCGTTGTTTTCTCGCCAGTTTCGCAAAACCCCGCGGGAAAATCCGACCCGACTCCCCTTGACACGGATTTCACAAACGCGGTCTGAGGAGAACGGCACCGCACGCCTAGGCGGGGGGGATCGATAAGAAGCGAGACGGAACTGGCCCAACAGGAACTCGGCCCGCTTGCACACCGGAACAATCGCAACGGAACGACGAAAAGGGGTTTTCCTCATTTTTCCCCGGGAAAGAAAAATCCTCGAGGCCGGTGGTGGAGGAACATTTGCCTATTCATGAGCAGCTGCCTAGCGTACGTAGAGAAATCAAGATAAGCCGGTCCCGGCGAGGTTCACACGGTGAAGAGAGGGCCTTTTGTGCTCTATCTGCCAGCCGGAGCAGTGTTCAAAAAGCTCGTCCCGCAAAGATGAGCTCACAGACACACACACGACGATTACAGAGACAAAGAAGAAAAACAGATTAAAAACCTTCAAAAACGATCGATATTGCCTTTAAATTAGAATGGTATAAATGGCTGTACAAGGATTCATTTTTCACCAATGAATACTAACAAATATCTATTTTGATCGGTAAATAACAAAAAGATCTACCCAATGCTGAACAATACGTAACAAAAATGGCCAGAAGGTGACGTCAATTATTGACTGATAAATAATATCTTTAGAAACTGACATCCGTTTATGTTCAACGAATAAGAAAGTATTTGGACGAAATATCCATTTTTGACTGATAAATAAAGAATGTATCAAAAGTTACTATCCACTTTTAATCGATGGATCTATTTTTGATTTATATACAAGCTATTCCTTTTTCATCTGAGGATAAGAAAAGATCAGAAATGAAAAATCATTTATAATTAACATTAAAAGATAACAAAAACTTATCAGGAGCTGATATCCAAAAAATGACCAAAACTTCAGGAACTGATATCCAAAAAATGACCAATATTATCAGGAGCTGATATCCAAAAAATGACCAAAACTTCAGGAACTGATATCCAAAAAATGACCAATATTATCAGGAACTGTTATCCAAAAAAATGACCAATATTATCAGGAGCTGATATCCAAAAAAATGACCAATATTATCAGGAGTTGATGTCAATTACTGATTTATTTATTTAACAGCAATAATATCAAGAGCAGATATTCCTTTTTTATCTAGGGATAATGAACGATCAGAAGTGTGTATAATGTTTTATGTATAATTGTGTTCTTGAATAAAAAAATAACAAAACTCATCAGGGACTTATATCCAGTTTTGATTTTTGAACAACAATAGTATCAAGAGCAGATATGTATTTTTTATGTAGGGATAATAAACGATTGGACATGAGTATCCATTTTGGATTAAAAAAAAATAACCAAAACATATCACGAGCTGATATCCAAAAAGTCACCAATATTATCAGGAGCTGATATCCATTTCTTATTTATAAAAAAAAACCAATAATATCGAGCAGATATTGTTTTTTCATCTAGGGGATAATGCACGATCGAAAATGAGTAACCATTTTTTAATAAACAAATAACTAAAAATTCTCAGGAGCTGATTTCCATTTTTGAGTTTTAAACAACAATAGCATCGAGAGCAGATGACCTTTTTGATCTAGGGATAATAAACGATCAGAAATAAACATCTATAATTGAATCAAAAAATAAAAAAATTCACCACGGACTGATATCCATTTTTGATTTATAAACAGCAATAATATCCAGAGCAGATATGCCTTTTTTATCTAGGGATAATAAACTATTGAATATCCATTTCTGAAGGGAAAAAACAATATTATCA